TAATCACAAATTAGAAAACTGAAATAGTACAGCGCCAACAACTGACGTGTACGTCTCCGCATATTCCAAAAATATTCTGTATTTATTGTAATAAAGATAATATCTCTAACTATGAAGGGCTGTTCCATTCGGTGGTATGGGAAAAACAGGAAAACATCTAATTACAAAAGGAATCAAATTTCATCTGTAATTAAATGTTAAATATGTAATTTTCCAATTTTTGTCCATTATAGTAAAGCTCAAGTTAAACTGGTCGATTTCAAGTGAAGCAATTGACAACACCCGTAAATTGCTCGAATTCGGGCTGGCCAATCGGAGCGCAATTGTCACTGGAATGATTTGGCGGAATAGTTTTCAATTAAATGTCGTTTCGTGACTACTCGTATTTCTGGTTATAGGTATACTGAAAGGACGTGGCAAATAGAGAATTTGAATCTTGAATCTTTGATCGTAAGAAGAAAATTTCAAATATTTAAGGATTTCAAACATGTATTAGCATAAATTTCCTAAAGATTAAAATTAATTAAAATTACCTTCGACTAACAAAATAAATAGCTATGTCTATACGACGGCAAAACTTAGAACAACATCAATGCGTCAAACCCTGATAACAGCCTACTATGGTCATGTAATGAATGAAAAAAAAAATAAAACAGTCGCTGAAAGAAAAAACGCATTATGGTGTAAATGAAATATTTGAATGATTATTATAATATTAATGCTTTATTTATTGGAAATTTTATAATTTAATAAATAATTACGAAAAGGTTTTATGTGACATTGTATAAATTGTGTATTAATTATTAATTTGTATGAATTTTTGTAATTTTAATGGTATATGTAGATATTATATTAGGAACATAATTTTATAATTTTGAAATATTTCTGCATGTACTCTTGTTTATAATATATTGCATGTCAGAAATGGCTAAACGTGTGAAATAACATTCTGTAAACATTATCATCAATTATTGTACTTACCACATTTAAAGCAATAAATGATTTGAATTCGACAATCCCTGTCATGTTATTAATCTACTTGTACCTACGGGTTGTAAACAAAATTTTAAAAAAAAAGGTATTTGTCACAATATTGACGTGTTACCATTGACTTACAATTATATGGACGTCGGGTCCGCACTTGTAAGGCGCTAAAATCGTATACAGAGCGCCAAACTCCGCTTTAGTCTTCATTTGTTCTACTGACAGCGCGATACTGCGATGATATTACAATTTAAATTTCGAATAGGTTGACTTGGGACATTTTTTTCGTGGTTTTTGTATTAGACCCGTCGTCCATTTATTTGTAAGTCAATGCGTGTTACATTGAAATAACAATCGTCAAATGCAGTACTTACGTAACGATATATTTATACCAGTGTCGCGGATTGGTATCTTAATTATGAGAGTATGAAATATAATTAAAACGCTGAACAATTCTGAATTTGAGCGACTCTTGTTCACCTAACCCTAAACACAACAATAAACACGTCTACTTATTTGATGTCATTTTTTAAACACCGAGTGACCTCTTCATAATAAATGTCGTGTTGTCCCAACCGGCGCTTTGCAACGCGAGTGCACCGCGAGAATATGCGAATGTGTGCATCCGTACACGGCGCGCGGCGGGCATGCACACATATAAGCCACGCAGCTACGTTTGTATAGAGTTTTTTTTTTCATGATACCCAGTTACGTGCGCCGTGCTTAGGTGGCACACCTGTCCATTACAGTTGCTGTGTCAACCAGAGGTTTCAATCGGATGCGGTTCGTAATATATAACAACAAATGACATATTTTTAGTCGGTATAACGCTCAACAGATATAATTAATTTATGGTATACAGACATTTGACATATTCTTGCATAATATAAAAATCACTGGGTATAGACGATTGATACAATAACTTTCAATCTAATACACCGATGGCATAATGTTCATTTTATATAAACACTTCAGATATAACATTCACTGAGTATTATAAATACAATTCTAGCGGTGTTTAGGTGCAATGGTGAATGAAACGAATTTGTTTGCATTTGCTAGTTGGTTCGACCTCCTTGTGTGTTTAGGTTAGGTTAGTATATGACAGAGCTGCACAGCCGTGCGAACGCAGCGAGCATGCCGCGGCAGCGGCCTACGATTGCGAGAACCAAATTTGTTTGCATTTGCTAGTTGATTCGACCCCCTCTTGTTTAGGTTAGATTAGTATATGCAATTAAATATCCTGCTTAAAGTTTTAATAAATATATTAAAACCACTCACAAACAACAATAAATAAAGAATTGTCATATTTCTCTTTCAGGTATATTTGTTAATTTATTTAGTTAAGCGTTTCAATTATTCGTAAAACGAAATATTGTGTTGTATTATTTAATACATTATACTGGTAGTAATTATACCGTTTGTACATTATGTCACCTAATCATTATACCTAATGTTTGTTATACTGAAGGTTGCAGTGAGTGATTATATCCTTAGAAATTACATCAAATGTTGTTATACTAAGTAAAAAAAAAAGGTTATTTGTTGTTATATCTTCCATTACACGCCCGTTTCAATCGCAAAGATCTGAGGGTCACTGCCACTGCGCCCGTCACCCAGAGACATAAGTTGACAAGTCCCATGTGCCTGTAATTTCACCAGCACGCTTGCCTTTCAAATCATATCGCTTGGTGCTTCCCGGTACGTATTCTTTTCTAAGGTACTGCTGATGCTACTTAAAGTTATGTTATTTGTCTCATTATACTATGCTATTACCTTTATTTTATGCCATATCTTACCATTTATTACTGTATTACGAAAAATGCTGTATTTTAGTTCTTATTCTTAGTTAAATAAATGTTCTAGTAAACATTTTCGTAGTCACGGTTTCAATTTGAAATAAAGGTGTCACCTCACTTGTCAACGCGATCGGCTTGAGTCGACTGGTAAAAGCATTGTCACACGATGCGACGTAATGCTTTCCGTGTCGATAAATTTGGTGATTGTCCAAGGACGCGTTCCCATTATGTCGTGACGACAGATAGTCGTGCAGTTTAAAGTGTCGTGACTGTGTATTTAAATGAAGTCATTCACACATAGAACAATACGATTACGACTTATTTAACGTTACAACTACAGACTGTCATGACCATGGGAAGGGCTAGAAAGACAGTCGTCGGATGATAAATAAAACATCACGACAAAAATGTGACGACAGATAATCGCATCTTCAAACGATTTTGTGTGCAAACGATAAATTGTTGTCACGATCTAGTAGAAACAGCTAGACACGACAGTCCGTTCAACGATATTATAAACGTCCACGACACAGTCACGACAGACAATCGTGATATGGGAACAGGCTAAAATAAATAAGACGTTACGACATAATGGGAACGCACCCTAACACTGGTCGTCTCTTGCACTTTCATTATTTTGCGAATGTGTGTGTGTGTCGTGCACACATACACGCCATGTTGCTACGTAGGCATAGAGTTATCATACTTATTTTATAATACTGTGCTATTACTGCTTATCGTTAGTGTTATGAAGAAAGATGTACGGTTTTTGCACCGTACAATATTTTTGTTAAAAATCCTTTTACTGCACGCGTTTATATTAAGTAAAAAGTGTACAGTACTTACATTTACTTGTTACGGAAACTGTGGTTCACGTACACTCATCATACTTACGTCATCCTACTCTATTTAACTTTACTTCAAGCTGAGGCATTCAAAGATTGGAATATAAGAGTTTTATATAGGACGATATGACCGATACAATATGGCGGCATGCCCTTAAACTGGCATGTCTATTAAGATATACATAGCGTATTTTAAAACACATAAGACTTAGATTAAATCTATTTCTCAATTTTCGTCTAATTTATTTATTTATTTATTTATTTATTAGGTGCACCAACTGTTACTACAATATTTCATGTAGGTGTTAATGCATTTCAAAAAGTTAGTCTAAAACCAGCCCGTTGCACCAAGTTAGTCTAATTAACTACCGTAATCAATTAAAAGTGAGCACCTCATGCAATAAAAATGTTTAACAGTGTTTAAAAATTACCAAAGATGATTTTAAGACTAAAAACTACTGGCCTACATTTATTTCTACCGTGAGCTTGGGTATAATTTGTGTTTGTCTATGTTTGTGTCCATGGCACCCGCCTTAGAGCACGCTCTAATGGTGTATTTCCACCGGCGAGACGAGACGAGACGAGGCGAGACTATTTTTAAAACTTGTATGGCAAAATTACAATTCTCTCCAACGCATCTTCGGTGGAAATGGTCGGGATTGACGAGGATGGGCGAGATGAGATTTGAAATATTTGTTGATGTAACGTTGAACCGTATTGCAGCCTACATAGACTCTTTATTAACTCTGCAACGGAAATACGATTCACGATATCGCGCGAGTACGCGCGAGCTCGCACGAGATTACGGGATACAGTCGCGTGCATTGAAACGTTCACACATTTTCGAAATTATGTAAACATTAGATATTTCAAAAAATGTACCTTGTGCTGTTTTCAAAAATATGTAGTCACGACACCGTTTTTAAAAAGTATACTTTTATTTCAGAAAAAAATAAACAAACTACAGTCAGTGAAAAACATGTAGTCCTGGTGTCATACATGTACCCATATCATTTTCGTAAATATTTATACAATGCATATTATATATTTATAATTGCATTAAAATATATACGATCAGGGTTGTGATTTTATCATAATTATGTAACCACTTTTAAAACATTGCATCGTATACAAAAATATATACACAATATAGCTGCAATATAATGTAAATATACCAGCGCCAGTTGGAAACATTTTTATGGTATTTTGCTAGTTCGTAACATTTGCCCTGGGATAACAGATTATATGAAAAAAAGTTATTTTCGATATAAAGTTCTTTTTATTTTTATTTATTATTTATTTATTTTATCTTAGAAAGTACAAACAGCTTCTGTCACAACA